GGAAAACTGGGCAGAGACTAAGACGGATTTTGAGGAAGACGAACATGAAGAGGAAACTGCTTCAAATGTTGTAAATTCTCCGCCTAAGAAACCGCAGCTCGCAGATTCCGTTGGGGATAATTCATCAACGATGAAGTTGTATACTAAGGACACTTCAGACATGGCCATGGTACTACGGAGAAGCAAGAAGACCTTGGAGGGTATAGCTAAGGTGATAGATGAATATTTTCTCAAACCATCAGATGGTTTAAAGGAAATTGCTGTTCTTATGGACATCAAAAGAGGGAATACTTCTCTGCCTCACAGTACGAGTGAAAGCAAAAGTAAATACTAGCTCTATTTATGCATTTGGATTCTCTTAGATGTTGTCTCCTTTACATTTATATTTCTTGATAATTTTTCTTTTGATAGAAACGCAAAATTTATAACAAAGTTGGAGAAAGTACAAGTAGGATGGAAGAAGTTCATAAAACTTCTAACTAAAAAATACAAATCGCATTCAAATCAAAATTCTCCCTATCAAGAAGAATTATACTAAAGGGTATATTTTTAAAGTTATGCACTACTTCCTGTCTGATAGATCGGCTCCTAATATCCTTCAGATGTATTACTTCTCTACAAAACTTTGTTTGTGCAGCTTATCTGTGTTGATGCATTCTCCCTGTCTGTGTGCTTGTATTTACTGGATGTTTTGCTTATTAAGTTCCTCCGCGTAATTGTTTTGCTGTATGATTTACAGGGAAGAGGGGTAATTCCACAAAGGTCTTTAGTGCATTGTCATGGAGTTGGTCTTCTAGGTCACTTCAGTTTCCAAGAGATGCAGTTGAGTCTAGTGGTCCAAGTGAACCATGCAGGCCAGGAGCTCATTGCATTACACTTCAAAAATTATATGATGAGGAAAAGAAACTTTACAAAGAAGTTAAGGTAAAAATACTAATTGGACGTATTGTATTCAGTAAAATCAGCATATGTAAAAGTTCATAATGTGTTTTTTGATTAGTTGAAATGACATCATGCTAGATGACTGCAATCTATCTTGTGTGCACGTGTTGAATTGAACTGTAGTGTTTAAGATGTGCCATCCCATGTAGGTAATGACACATTGACTGATTTTCTGATTATAAGTTTATAACTATTTTCTGGTTATCTTTGTAACATTTTCCTTCAATCCTCTCTCTCTCTCTCTCTCTCTCTCTCTCTCTCTCATTTTGCTCGGAGTTTCTGATGAATTTAATCATTCTATTATGCAGGAGGAAGAGTTTACCAAATTAGAGCATGATAAGAAATCCAAGTTACTGCAAAAACAAGAGGATGAAAACCATGACTGGACCAAGACTGAGAAAACTCGGTTAAGCGTTGAGAGTTTGGAGTCAGACATCTTACGTCTTCAGCACTCAATCAGCACCACTTGTTCTTCTTTAGTGAAGCTCATAGATGATGAGCTGTATCCTCAGTTGGTCACACTAACTTCCGGGTATTGGTGACATTAATCATGTAGTATAATAGCCACAATTTTTTTCTTGTTATAGAAAAAATAATTTGGATGCTATTCTCTTAGTTTTAAAGTATATAGGATAGTAGAATGCAATTTTTTTCTTTTGGTGACTCACTGAAACTTGTTCTTCAAGATGATGGATACCATTTTTCCCCTTTCTCATCCATCTCCTTCAATGTAGTTACCAGAGACTCGAGATATTTTATGGCTCTATATCTAAGACTCAATATCATTAGTACCTCTCTACAATTTTTCAATCTGACATTTTTGTGTATAATGGGGTGTTTAGTAATCTTTCTAGTTGGTACCAAGTAGCAAATACCTGGAACCATAATTTTTTTAATCCACAAGCACCCCTTTACTCTAAGAAAACCTTGATTTAGTCCCACTGGATTTGTCTTCATAATAAGGCTGCCTTGCCTTACCTTAAACATAGAATTCTCAACCGGCCTTCTAGAGCTTTTAATGGAATGTGGCGAAACATGTCCTCCTGTATTTGTATCCTCAGGCTTTTGCATGACTCTCTTGCAGGCTTTTGCACATGTGGAGAACGATGCATGAATGTCACCAAGTTCAACATTTTGTTTCCCAGCAGTTGAATATTCTTACTGATATAAAGATGGACTTGAGTACCAACTACCACCGCCAAGCTGCAATTCAACTGGAAACCGAGGTTTCTTGCTGGTACAACTGGTTCTGCGAAGTCGTAAAATCTCAACAAGAGTATGTTAGAACACTTTCCAAGTGGATCCAACGTACTGACAGTCTTGTTGATGACCATCGAAAGAGTCTTTACTCATCTTCTGTTCGTTGCATGTGTGAACAATGGAATCTTGCTTTTGAACGATTACAACATAAGGTATTTCTGGTATAACCTTCTGTTGGCTCTCACTGATTTTCATGACAATTAATATTCCTGAAAGGAAAATTCTTCATGCTCTAGTCTATGAGCTAGATGTCACTAAAAGCAGAATGTATAATTTCATATGCTGTCATCGCATTCACATCACTTGTTTGGTCATGGAATTTCATTGTGGGAGTCAACCATTTTATGTTGACTGGACTCGTGGTTTGATACACATTTTTTTATGCTTTGTTGTGCTTACAGGAGGCAGCAGAAGCCATTAAGAGCCTTCAATTAGCAATCTGCTCAATTCGCGTGCAGCAAGTAGAGGAGCACAATGTGCAGAAAAAATATGAAAAACTTGAGAAAAGACTGCAAAAGGAGTTATATTCATTGGCTGAGATGGAGAAAAAGATGGAGGGGAGTGTCACCGAGGGAGATGAGTACTCCAGTTTAGGCCCTAAGCATCCTTTGTCACTTAAGCGAGACAAAACTGAAGACTTAAAAAAGGAAGTGGACAGTGAGAAGGCCAAATTTCTTAACTCAGTCCGGGTTAGCAAGTCCCTGACACTGGAAAACCTAAAAAGAAGCCTTCCCAATGTATTCCAAGCGTTAATGACATTTTCTAGTCTCTATGTTGAAGCCATTGAGGCTGTTTGTGGCGTCGTTAAACCAGCCGATGATTCTGATGCTACATTGTCAACCTCATAGAATTAACGCTGTTGCCTTGAAAATATGGAGATGAAATATGAATCTTCCTGAGTTATCAGGGTAGTTGAAGATGTTAACATTAGAATGCTGAAGATTTTGTTAGATTGGCAGATCTTAATTGCTTTTCAAAGATGCCGTTATATTGCCCTTTCTGTCCCAAGGAACTTGAGGCGGGGTAACAGGACGTTTCTAAACCACATCGGAATGAAGTTCTGTCCTCGATTGCTGTGTCTTCTGGAGCATTTGAATAAAAGCAGCCAAACAGATATTCAAGAATAATAATTTCTCAGCAGCAGGATATTAAATAGTGGGTAGACTGAAATCTCATTGCAAGTGAAAGAAAAGAGAAACTCAACAATGATTCATTCCATAACTTGGCACCAAAGAAATGACTTTTTTTTTTTCTTTCAAAAATATAAGATTAACGTTGATAATCATGACTTGTGTGAGTTGCAGCTATAAGCGGAGATGATAATTATGTTGCAATTTGGGCAAACACCTATCCAATTAATTCCTCTCCCCTTCATTGAGAGGAAATCCCAACTAATTTGTATGAATTTTTTTTAAAAAAAACAGTGCACAAAATAATATAAAATAATTAATTACTATATATTGAGTAATTTATGAAATTAATTTAAATATTTAAATGCTAATTATTCACTAAATAAATAATAATTGAAATATAATTACTAATTAAAGTAATTAAATAAAGTTAAGATATTTCTTAATTACAAATATTAAAATAGGTATATTCGAAAAAATAAAAAATATTTAAAGACATTTACAGCGTACAGCCGCTCGGCTATATATAAAAAACATTTACAGCGTACAGCCGCGCGGCTATATATAAAAAACATTTACAGTGTACAGCCGAGCGGCGGCTATACTATTTGAATATTCGAAAACATTTACAGCGTACAGTCCGGCTATACTATTTAAATATTTGAAAATATTTGCAGTGTACAGCCGTGCGGCTATACAATTGAAATATTCGAAAATATTTACACCGTATAGCCGACCGGCTGTACTATTTAAGTGTTGGAATATATTTATGCAGTACAGCCATGCGGCTATACAATTTGAATATTCGAAGACATTTAGAGGTTGCCTTGCCTTACCTTAAACATCGAATTCTCAACCGGCCTTCCAGAGCTTTTAATGGAATGTGGCGAAACATGTCCTCCTGTATTTGTATCCTCGGGCTTTTGCATGACTCTCTTGCAGGCTTTTGCACATGTGGAGAACGATGCATGAATGTCACCAAGTTCAACATTTTGTTTCCCAGCAGTTGAATATTCTTACTGATATAAAGATGGACTTGAGTACCAACTACCACCGCCAAGCTGCAATTCAACTAGAAACCGCAACAAGAGTATGTTAGAAACTTTCCAGGTGGATCCAACTTACTGACAGTCTTGTCGATGACCATCGAAAGAGTAATCCTCTGTTCGTCGCATGTGTGACCATTTACAGAGTACAGCCGAACGGCTATACGATTTAAATATTCCAAAATATTAACACAGTATAGCCGCGCGGCTATAAGATTTAAATATTCCAAAATATATTTAAAGAGTACAGCCTTGCGGCGATACTATTTACACAGCATAGCCGCCCTGCTATACTATTTAAGTGTGCGAAAATATTTACACAATATATTCGCAGGGCTATACGATTTAATAGCCGTTTGGTTCTACGATTTAAATATTCGAAAATATTTACACCTAGATAGCCGCTCGGCTATACGATTTGAATATTCGGATATATTTAGACAGTATAGCCGTCCGGCTATACGCTTTAAAGAAGGATGAGTGATATTGATCATTATTTAAGTTGTTTCTTACGCCTCTTAATAGTGGGTCGACTGAAATCTCATTGCAAGTGAAGAAAAGAGAAACTCAACAATGATTCATTCGATAGCTTGGCACCAAAGAAATGACTCTTTTTTTTAAAAATAAAAAATAAGATTAACGTTGATAATCATGACTTGTGTGAATTGCAGCTATAAGCAGAGCCGATAATTGTGTTGCAATTTGGACAAACACCTATACAGTTAATTCCTCTCCCCTTCAGTGAGAGGAAATTCCAAGTATCAAACAGTTCTTGTTCTCTGGTTTCGTATTCAACTCCAATCTATGGCCTTGTCTTCAAAATCATCTTCTAATGGGTGAAGCCTGTTGTGAGCAAGCCTGCCCATCACAGCCATACCTGAAATTTAAAAAACCATATTTGATAAGAAAAATAGACAAAGGGATGAGTGAAATTTGAAGTTTGCTGTTTTCGTTCCCTGGAAGTAGTTTACCTTCAACTATTCTGAAGAAAGCTGACCACCACCCTTGTCTTGGTATATGGTGTTGATTCAGTGTGTTGTCTATCTCTTTATCATGCTTCCCTTCCAAAACTCCCTGCAGTGTTATAACTGCATCCTTTGTTTTCATGAGGATATTGTTCTTGTCTTCAATATCAGATCTTTGAAGATCCTTCTGTGAAGCAGTGAGACTAGCAGCTAATGCAAATTGGGCAGCCGCAGCCCAGCGAGAAGAGGCCAACCAACTCCTATGGCTCTGGCCAACCACTGGCTCAGTTTGGTCCCTAACGACCTTATTCTGTTTACCTCCAAATACCAGGCCACACAAATACTGAGCATTAGCAGGTCCTGTACTCTTGACCATCTTGGAGAAGGCACTCTCTTCATTCGATAGTAGCTTTTCTGGGGAATCATGTTCTAGGACCTGAAAAAATGAGAGGTTAAAAGTTATGAGTTGATAGTTTTTGGCTTGAAATCAGAGGTAAAAATTGTTGTATGATCCCGTTATATACAACCTTCCTCTCCCAAAATGTACGTGACACTCATACAAAATTTCTCCTTACATTAAAATGAGGGCATACCTGACCAGCATCGAGAACAAGGATTTGATCAGAGTCAATAATGGTATTTAATCTGTGAGCAATAATGAGCATGGTGCATGACTTGAATTCTTCACGGATGGTTTTCTGGATAAGAGCATCGGTTCGAACGTCAACAGCCGCAGTTGCTTCATCAAGAACAAGAATCTTTGATCTCCGCAGCAGTGCTCTAGAAAGACTTATTAGTTGCCTCTGTCCAACACTAAAGTTCTCCCCTCCCTCAGAAACCTTGATGCAATAAAGACAAATCGTAACTTAATGAGAAAGTTGTCAAGGAAATGAGCTAAAAGCAGTTTGTTACAATTTCTCAATTCAAGCAGCTCCAACTTGACAGATACTTATACCTCAGCATCCAGACCCAAAGAATTCCTCCTAATGACATCCTTCAGATGTGCCCTCTCTAGAGCTTCCCAAAGGTCAGCATCATTATGCTCATTGAAAGGATCAAGATTAAACCGCACCGTTCCTAGACAAGACAGAATAATTAGAATGATGCATGCCATAGTTAGAAAGATTCATAAAATATACATATAGGTTGAATAAGTGCATACCTGAAAAAAGAACAGGTGACTGGGGTATGATACTAAGAACTTTTCGCAAATCTGTCAGTCCAAACTTAGAAACATCACAACTGTCTATCAAGATTCTTCCTTTTTCTATTTCTACTATCCTAAACAATGCATTAATCATGCTAGATTTCCCTGCACCAGTTCTTCCGACGATTCCCAGCTTCTCACTTGCAGAAACTGTAAAAGATAATCCATGCAGTACTGGTGGAAGTCCCGGCCTATAGCGCAGGACAACGTCCTCAAACTTGATCGATCCTGCTGATGGCCACCCATGTTGGGGACGGTTGCTTTCAATTACAGCTGGAGCTTCAGAAGGCAGCTCTATATATGAACCAACACGCTCAACGGCATTCAAACTGTTTTCAGCCCTGCTTGCTTGTCTAAGAACACCACTCAACAAATTTGTGATATTTAAAGTATAAGTGAGAAGTAGACCCATTGTGGATGCAAATGCTACTCGGTCTTCTGCTCTTGCATTCTGCATGACAGCAAAGGTTGCTATCAACCAAATCATCACGCCTCCCAGTGTTTCTAACCTTATAGTGAGCCAGCGATTTGAACTGATATTCACAAGGGTGAATCTGATATTATTATCCATGGACCTCCCACTGATGCTGGCCATCCGATCATATGCTTTGTATGCACGAATGGATGATAAACCATTTAATGCTTCTCCAAATTGTGCATAAACAGGAGACCTGGTAATCGAATCCAAGCGCTTCACTTCACGGGATGTGCTCTGTAAAAGGCTTACGATAAATAAGATCTTTATGCCTAATAATATATCAGGAAAATACACAACAGGAAAATTGTCTGCACCCAAACGTACCTGATAAAAGAGGTAGGCTGCATAAAATAAAATTAGAAGTGGCATTATGGCCCAGAGGGATATTGTGCTCACAATGCCTATGAGCACAAAAGTTGAAAGGAGCTGCCAGACTTGACCCAGAAACATGTTCATAACATTTGCTACCATGCGATCTATATCGCCCAGATCTTTCGCAAACCTATTGATTATCCGTCCAGTTGGAGTAGTGTGGAAGAATACCATTGGAGCTATTAGTATAGCATTTAGCAGGGCATCATGCAATCTTCTGGCTGCCCGAAGGCTTGAAGTGATTAACCAAAAAGAGTTGGTCAGTGTCACAATTACCTGAATCAAGAAAATGTGGATAAATGTCTTCAAAATCAAGAACAAGTGGAAATGGAGAATTATGAGGCAACTCTTGACACACCTGGCCAAATGACAGAATTCCATATACAAGAATGTAGAATCCAGGTTTATAACTCTTTGAGGTGCTTTTAGCTGTCCAAACACTTAGCCATGTGCTACTAGAAACTCGAAGAACTTCTGTTAATATATAACAAGCAAATAGAACCATGACCACCCATAGGCCTCCTAATGCATTTTTGTACCTGCCAAAAAGAATAAAAAGAATCAATAAAAATGCATCTATGGACCTGGAAATATGTATTGTCAAAAAGAGAATTAAAAGAATTCAAGACTTATTTGAAGCGTGAATCTTTAAAGATAACGTAGTTTATTACCTCAGTAAAATATTCCAACTGACAACACCTGTTTCCCGTTCCTCTTGTTTAATGAGTACAGATTTTGCTCCTTTCCCTTTCTTTGCGTAGCTTACGTCGTTTGGCAAGTCATTCAACACCCCATTGGAAGCAGGTGTTGAGCTTTCATGGTAATCATTTTTGCTATCTTCTTTTTCTTCTACATGTTCTTCCATTTTCCCTGCATTTTCCATTAGTTTCTGGAACAGCTTACTGCTTTTAGACAGCTCCTTAAAGGTTCCCACCTCTTTAATCGTACCATCACAGACTAGAATAATTTGATCCACTTGAGGAAGAAAATGTAGCTGATTTGTGACCAGCACCCTAGTTTTCCCTTGCAACTCTTCCTTGATACAGCGGTTGAAAACCTGGAGGTGGTAACATATTAGGCTTCAGAGAGATCACACTTGGAGATTGAAGAGGGCGAGCTAATAAGAATTGGAAACTAAAAGAATAGAACATCCAAGCTGCATGGGAAACATAAATTAGAAAAAGAGAGCACAGGGTCCCTTTGGCTTGCCTGCTTAAAAGAATAATACCTGTTTAGCAACATGAGCATCTAGAGCACTTAATGGGTCGTCAAATATGTAAACATCTGAATTAGAATATACAGCCCTAGCCATTGAGACTCTTTGCTTTTGACCACCACTAATATTGACCCCTCTTTCGCCAATCTCTGTTAGATCTCGACCCTGCAACATTTAGTGTAGTGGTTAACTAACTGAAATCTTTACAAAGTGTAATGATCACCAATTTCAAAGCTAAAACTTCATAAATTCACTTACTGGAAGTATGTCTAGATCATGCTGTAACTCAGTTAAATCCATAGCCTTCCAATATCTTGCAGGCTCGAATTTAGATCCAAATAAAACATTTTCGCGTACCTAGAAGAAAACTTTGAAAACTCAGAAAGTGCACATAGGGGAGATGGCTTTGAATTGGCTAGAAAGCCAAGATTGAACATTGTAGGGATTCAAAGAAGAGATGCTTCGACTCACAGTAGCATTGAAAATCCATGAAACTTGGGGAACATAAGCAACAGTCCCCCTGATTACAACACCAGAATTTGCTCTGGGAGGCAGCTCTCCAAGCATGGCTGATACAAGTGACGTCTTCCCTTCCCCAGTGCCGCCAACAACTGCCACTAAGCTTCCAACCAGTATATCTAAGTTGATGTTTGATAAGGTGGGCTTCTCTGCCTGCAAAAAGAAAGGAGAGGGGTGTTGTTCAGCATGTTTGATACTCAACATGCAACTAGCATCATCAAGTACATGAGAAAAGTTCCTGGAATTTCTATGTAACTACTTTCTTGCAAAATTTCCACATAATTAAGTGTCATTGTGCGGGTCTATGAAAAGACTACGTAACTAAGAATGAACTATATATTTCTAAAATAAAAAAGTCATTATTGTCAAGCATTGACCTTTGAATCCCATGAAAAGTAACCATCCTTAATTGAGATGGCTGGAAGCCCTGGTTCAAGAGGCTGGTTCGGCACTAGAATTCTCTCCTCAGTTAAAAATAGTTCCTCCAAACGCTGTAAGGATACATTTGCATTTACAACCTGTTAAATTAAAGCAGAGTTAGATACTAACAAAGACAAGGAGTAACTAGGTAAAATTTCATTAAGTACGGATGAAACATAATCTCCATGTTGTAGATGAAAATACAGGTAAAGGTGTTAAGCCAAATGCAAGATGACAGATAAGTGAACTGATAAGAAACTAATGCTACCTGACTTAATAAGTTAGGCAGCATGTTTAAAGGAAACCGTAGCACTGCAAAGAGAGAAAGCGATGTGAATGCCCTTGCAGGTGTCAAATCACCGCCAAGAAAAGTGAACATCCCAAATGATGTTAGTGTCACAACAACTGGGATGCTGTTCAGTATAAAACTGTTAAACTGCAAAAATAGAGGCAACTGGTCAGAGAAACTCCAAGGTAGTCCACAGAAAATGTGCTATCATATATTATTTATATCAAATCTATCAAGGAATGAACAGTTTCTTATCCATATGTAAACAAAAAAATCTACACAAATTATAAATTTAACAAACTGGTCTTGAAAAATAGGTAGAAAATAATTGTCAGGATTACGTGTTGTGCCTTACAGCAGATAGTAAATACGCTTTACGGAACCTTGATAGTTCATCATTCCGTATAATTTGAACTCGTTGTTGGAAACTTGTCTCCCAGGCATAACATCTGAAACATTTTATTTTCAGTAATGTCAGAACAATTACTGTCAGTGGTGTTCTATCTAGAAATGACTGGCAGCTGTAATCGAATTAAATCATACTTCACAGTGTCCATGGCTGCCAAAATTTCATTCGTGAGGCCAACTCTCTTGTCAGTCTGCTGTAGTCCATCCTTTGTCAGTTTTCGCATTTTGCTGATCACGATTGTCTTTTCACAAGAGAATTTATAACAAATGAGTCATTATACAGAACAACCAAAATCCTTATCAATAAATCAAACAGCAGAAGAAGATATGGTATTAGGGCACCTTAAATCTATGCAAGGAGTCTATGTTATGTTTTCCTATTTAGATCGGTGCACTAGATATTAAGTCCTATTAGGTTTGATAAGAGTTTAATTAAGATATGTCTTGAGGCCCAAAACCTTGTGAAATAAGGAAGAGTTTAGGAGCCTAATTAAGGAGTCCTATTTTGTTTCCTTTTTGCGTGAACCGATTAAGTGAGCTTGAAAGATAAGTCAAGTCGGCCCTCGGTGATGAGTAGAGGCGACTTGACCTAGTCCTATATAAGCTAAAGGCCCTGCTCTCATCAGACACGTTCTCTAAACCTATTCTCATTATAAAGAGAGAGCTGAAACAGATTCTAAGAGAGAGGAGAAGTCTTGAGCCGTTCATGTTCTTGCTGGGATTACTGTTGCTACGGATAGGATGAATTCAGAAGCTGTGTATTCAAGGAAGATGGCTCCAGGTATGTCGTCACATCTTTATACGTATTACAGATTGTGTGTAAGATCTAGAACATGCATTTAGGAATCTAACAGTCTAATGATGGAAATGAAATTCACTAATCTGAATGTATGATGTTGCTTTGAAATATCGTGAAACCAAATCCTTTCACAACTTTCTGCCCATATGTTCATCCACAAGTTCCACCTTAATGACAAGGAATTTGATGTGATATTGGATGTACTAAATTGCCAAGAAAGCATTCTAGCAGCTGAAATACCCAGATTGTTAAGCTTTTCTGAGTTCAGAACACTGTATCCACAAATCCAGGATAAAGATAACTACGAAAAATTCGACCAAAAAAAGAAGATAAAGAGGGAAATAAATGCAAATGCATGAAAGCGGGCAATGTTAATGGTTTTTCTTTTCAGTAAGAACATGATAGCCTAAGCTTAACCTTCCAAGCAAAATGGCAATATACAGAGACTTTTAGTAGAGAAAGAACGAAGTCCTGACCTGTATGGGGATCATGAGAATTAGCATCATTGACCCAATAAGTGATGCAACACCTAATTGCTGGTAAAGAAGAACCATGGCTACAGTGATACGAAAAGGAGCTGACCACAGTCCGTGAAGTTGTTGACATATTTGCTAAATCATGAGAAAGACCATATTATTTATAATTCAATCAAATGACAGCACTTCAAAGAATTAGAGATGGCATTTTCATTTAATGGAAAACAAGACAACAATAAAACTGTACATAGTAGTATCTCTTAACGTATGATGATACCCAATCTACTTGATCTCTAGAGCATACCTGAAGGGCATTAGCATCTGTTGACATCATGTTTGTTATCTTGCCAGTTGGGAACTTCTTACGACCCTCATGAGTTAGTCTTATAGATTTACGAAATATAGCAGCTACCTACAAACGAGGAAAATAAAAGCAACCAACTTTTCAGGAATCACAAAACAGGAAACTGAGTTGGGAATTCAAACTGACCAAAAATGAATTGGAGGTTGAATGAGATTTATAGAAAAGAAAAAAAAACAACACAGCATTAGGTTGTTAACATAGATGAAGAGCTTTACCAGAGTTGATCTCAGCCTAAAACCAACCCGCATAACATTCTGGAAATACTGAGCTTCAGAGAGCACACCAAGTGACTGGACAAAGATGAATAAACTTGTCAATATAATTCACAATCTATCTTTGCAATATTATCAGTTGTTATTTTCCATAAATTTCATTTCAACCAGTCACAAGAAGTTCCTGGTGCAACTTCTAGCTGAGCTTTTCATAATGCACATAGAAACATATTTGATGTAATTATGTTTAACATATGCAGGAACGACGATCAAATCACGTTGCAGGAGAAAACACATGATAGAATCCATACCACACCAGTGAAAATTGAGAAGGCGTATATGCAACCAATCCAAGCTGGGTCACCTCGTTGCATTGCCTGCATGCCATAACAAGACAATTACAAACTCTCATGCTGAAACACAAATAATATGCTTTGCAAAGTACGTTCATTCAATTGCTTAAGTCAGTCATACTTGATTACCATTACGAATACTGACTTGAAATCTCAGAAATCAGGTGGGATACAGTTCTTTCTTCTATATTTTCTTGATTCTTTGGACCATACGTTATAGACAATGGTTGGTTGTTAAACTCAGAGTTCGTACAGTGTGAATATAAACTTCTCTAGCTATAAGATTTTACATATTCTTGAAGGAATTAAAAAGCATGAGAAGTGTTGAAACTTCATAGACTCAAAGACGATTTCCATGAACAGCTTTTGATATAATAGTCTTTAGTTGGTAGAAACTTCTACCAATACTAATGAGGCTTTAGCAAGAAAGAAACTGACCTGCAAGAGATGATTCAATAAAACTGGACCTGCAAACTGAGAAAGATCATTGCCAATCTACAAGATGTTCAAGGTAATTTTAGTAAACTTCTTGTGAGTCATCAAACAATCAAGATCGCGTCTGACAATTCGCACCCACAAGCAAACTTGCACATGTATTAAACAAAATTTTACAGGCAGATAAACTATTTTCAACAAATATTTTGCCTTTGGACTTTATAAACTGGGTAAGTTCATTACCTTGAAAAAGCCTCCCCACCAGAACCTACATAACATCTCAACAAAATCAGTTCATATATGATGAAAATAAAATTAGAATTTTTTGAATTATAGGATGTTATATCTACCTAACTAATGCACTGCTGAGAACTTATTCAAAGATTTAAGCACCAAACTATGAAAATGGTAGTTCAACTATTACCTTCTTCCAAGGCTACAATTCAATGCTCTTAGAAGCCATGGTTTGGGCCTTTGAGATTCTATAACCCAGCATTTCTGGAACCTGAAAAACTTAAAACTGTTATCCATGTTGTGCAGTGGACACACAAAATCATGTACAAGCAACTGAAATGGAGGCAACATGAAGTGGACTTTTTAATTAATGTCTCAGTCTGATCCCGTGTGTCCAACTTCCAAACATCTTTTTCAGTGATGGGTTTTCTGTACCCTAGCTGCATGAGTGGAGTCATCCATCCAAAATATATTCCTACAGAGATGCGCATGAAATTAGTATGTAGTTTTAGAGAACATAAAATATCCACCGTACCATTAATTAAAAAAAAATTTGAAGACCCCAAACCAAAGTTATAAAACTATGCATGAATTATTCTAAGTTCAAGAATTACTTACTGGAAAATATATTAACATGTCTTTCTGGGCAAATTTGCTCTTCTCCAGGCAGTGCTTCATATTCAATGTTATCAAGAGACTCGGATTGCAGAGCAATGTAACCCGGATAAGGTTCCAAATTAGGAATATAAACAAGAAGTAGAATTCCAAACAACACCTACATCAGAACAAGAACCACAGACCAAAATGTAATCGACATGATACGGAATGAGTGGAAAACAGCAAACTAAGATATAAAATCTCCTCATAGGATTGATGTATGTATTATTATATTGTAACTATAGCCTTGGACGTCTAACTTTGGTATAAGTATAACGTGAAAAATTAAAATTAAAATGTCTTGGACAAATAAATGAGAAACTGGTTACTCAACAATGTCTAGCAATGACCTAGCTAGTCTAGAGGCTTGTCAGCCATCAAATATTTGGACAGAAAGGCTTATCTCAGCCTTAACTTGGAGACCATAAAATTATATAATTGGGAGATGGCAAAGACATGAAAAAGGATACAGAGTTTATAGAACCAACAAATTTTGTTGGAGCAATAAAATGAAGAAACTATAATTAGTTTGGGACTTGGGACAAACCTGGCAACAGAGAGTGCTTATATACAGGTACAGAGCACCTCTGCAAGAGTGAAATAAAAACAAAAACAAAACCAAAAATTGTTATGTAATGAGATCACACTTGTGGCAAATAAAGTATCTAGTAAGTGAATGGGAGAAAAACTAACCTGCTGACTGTCACTGAAAGAACAAGATTCAGAACCACTGCATTTCCTACCAAGACATAAATGACTCCAAACCTTACATACCACCGGAATTCCCGGATATATATCCTAGTTTCCAAGCCAATCATAATTAGCATGGAGCACCAAGCAAGAGCCTCAATGACTGAAGAAGTCATCTGCAAGAGGTTCGTTTATGGGTAAGCTTTATGTTATGTAATAATTTACAATAGAATAGAATGAGTTGTTATAATAATTAGCAACAATGAAAGCTTTTAATTACAGACTATCTTGTGCGTTCATGCTTACATTTTGAAAGACAAATTTCTCATCAATAAGGCATATCAAAAGTGGCACAAAACATCCACACACAAAATGAGAGAGAGAGAGAGAGAGAGAGAGAGAGAGAGAGAGAGAGAGAGTCCACCTCAAAAGGAGCAAAGCAAGTTTTTCTGTTCAGGTTAAAAATGGATATTTCCATCAGCAACCTCAGTATGGGCTCAGCAGTGAAGTATCCAGCCAACAAAGCCAATATGTAATTATAGTAATTTGACCTTAATCGAAACCTCCGGGATTTGAAATTCATCTTTATCATCCATATTCGATAGCAGCACAGGCACAAAAGAACTAAGTGAGAAATGCAGATGACTAGGGAGTCAATTGCACAAGGTGTATATGGGCCAAAAGCACTGACTGCTTTGGCCCACACCCCATTAGCTTCTGGTTGACAATACCAGTCTATTGGCTTAAAACCCATATCTGGTATTCAATTTCACTCCCACAGATATTCTACTGAAGGCACATTATAAACTCAAAAACTCATCTTGATACAATCACTGAGTTCTGTTCTTACTCAATCTAAAATTTCTTAAGTGATACACAACAAGGTCTCAACTTCCCCACATAAAACACTTCCTGCAATAAGAACAAGGCCAACGTATAAGAATAAATAGATTAAAGGCCAAAACTTTGTATGCAGAAGGGATAAACAAAGAGAAAGTGACAAAAGAAAAAGAAGAAAACTATCACCCTTTCGTTCAGTTGCAGAGAAAATGAAATTTAGAAGTTTATGACAGTTTGACTTGCATGTATCTGCTATATATGAACCATCTAAAGAGAACCCAGAAAAATGTACAAGAAGGTAGTTAAAACTTGGTCTTTTCAATGCTCAAACGGGTAAACGTCCAAACCCAACACTCCATATAGTCCATGGTATCCAGATATACACAAACAGTAGCAAGAGCAACAGTGAAAGCAGCAAACAAGAACAAAAAAAAAACACAAATAGAATCTGAGAGTGATATGAGAGGGACACCTGTCAAACGAGAGTATTGCAGCTCCAGTTCTACTGGGAGAAGACTCATTGGGCATTGCACACGTCACGGCTTACGAAGACCATCCCATTCATTTGGAAAACGACATGAAAATGAGATGAATGAAAGAGATTAGCAAACCGAACAAAGTGACAATGTGAGAATTTTTTTAAATAATGGGGAGCATTATAAATGAAATAAAAAACATAACACGGTATCGCCTCTCTGACTTTGGCTGCTTCCCCATACAGTAAACATATAATATACACAAGATATTTGGAACCACATATTATTTATTTGATATAATTCACAGAGCTTACTTTTATATGAATATGATGACGAAGTGTTGTAGTCACGGGGCATGAGTAGACTGGTATTGGGGGTAAACTGAAAGACTATTGTCATGTGGACCCAAAAAGTTATCTTGCACTCAACGCAATCAATAGAAGCTCTTTAATTAACAATCGGTTCTAAGTAACCATTTGACATTGCTTATTTGGGGTAATAAGTAATTTTAAAAAAATTTCGGAAAGCCCAACCCAACTTTGAAGAAAAAAAATGTCAACTTCAAAATATGATTCGTCGTACTCTGTCTTTTTAAATTCATAATATTACGTTTTGCGTAGTCATCTTAAATACATGAAATTTTTAGGATTTGTCCAATTCGCTAGAGAAGATAGAGTAACAGGTCAAGGGTGCAATTCCCTCTAATCTAATGTAACAGAAAAATAGTCTTATTTTTTTAATTAAAAGCTAAATCATTTAAAATCCAAATAAATATTAAGGTGATTTTAGCCGAACCCAAAGGTTTGTTCAGTTAAACCACTTATGCATACATGGTTAGATTAGTTGGTTGACGGATTCAGAAATCTTATCTCATAGGGTCATAGAGTAAAAGTTTAAATTTTTTGAGATTGCGGATCGATGGTTAAGGAGAAAAGAATGGGGTTTTGGTTAGGTGGAGGGGTGTTGAAACTTTCTTTTTTTTTCTTTTTTTTTTTCAAAGACCTAGGGCCAAAACGACGTTGTTTTGGCCAACTCATTTAAAAAACATAACCGCTGGGCCAAAACGACACCATTTTAGCCAGCATGTTTTTTTTTTAAAAGAACCACGCTAGGCAGCTTCTTCTTCCTCACACCAGCAACCCTTTCCTTCAGTCCATTCATGGGGTCACATAGTCAGGTGAAGAGGACCTTCTAGCTTGTTTTCATGGAGTCCATAGGGTCGTTTGACCCTAATGTGGGTCCATCCCTGGTTGGAAGAGTAAATTCATTCTTTTGCACCCAAGTTCGAATCCCTCTCCCCGTGGATTAGATTAATTTAGTCTAATTTAGACCATCGTTTGTATATAATAATAAAAATTGTTAAAGCTTACTCGAAAATCCTCCTGAAATTTTTGGCATCATAATTTCCTTATAATAATACAACAAAATTCCTTAGCAGTTAAGCTCGTGCATGCTTAGCATTGACAGCTCACTACGTTCAAGGATTTTCCATCATTTAAATTGGGTGATTTTATTTGCACTCCAAAATTTGCCCTTTGCACCCCATATTCTCTTTACACCTCACAGAATTTTAGTAAAATTTAAAATTTCTCACTACACCCCATTTTTCTTCCTAAATTACCCTCATAAACCAGATTACTTACTTGTGTAAATCTCATATCATATCAAACCCCACCCCATCGAAAACTCCCTCCTCTTGCAGACATACCCCTTGGCAAACCCTTTGGCGTTTCAAACGCACCCCATCGCACACCCTATCTGATTTGCAACAGACTTCATCGCAAACCCCAACCCCAATCGCACACCTTCTCCCATTTGAAACAGAGCCATCGCACACCCCAATCCCAATCGTCTCACCTCATCGTAGCTAGGCGATCTCGCCCCCATCACAACCGTATCTCAGCCCCATCACAAACCCATCTAACCTCAAAATCCTCTGAAAAGCCATGGGTTGTTTCAATTTTGATTTCAATGTTTATGTTTATGAGTGTTGATTAAGCCAACGTTTGATTCCAATTTTGAAAAGACAAGGTTTGATTTCAATTTTTATTTCAACTTTGTGGATGTATGGTTCAAACCTGGTTTTACGAAAATAGATGTTACTTTTAGTAAGTTACCACCAAAATTGTTGCTTTGTTACAGTGGTAGTCCACCGAATTTGAACATGGTTTTTAAGAAAATAGATGTTACTTTCGGTGGGTTACCACTGAAATCGTTACATTGTTTCAGTGGTAGTCCACCAAATTTGTTTCTGTTTTTCAGTGATTGTACACCAAATGTGTTTCCATTTTTTAGTGGTAGTCTACCGAATTTATTTCCGTTTTTCAGTGGTAGTCTACTGAATTTGTTTCTTGTTTCAATGATCATCTATCGAATTCGTTACTTAGTTCGTACTTAATAATTTTTTTTTAGATATGAAGAGAACTCGCAGAGGTACTATTGAGGCTTCATCATCTCGACCTGATTGACAACGTCCCATAGCCTCAACGAGGAGACATAGAGCGGCGAGGTTAGCCCTTCAAGAGAACCAGCCCCAGCATGGTCCCCCAAACCACTTTGAGGATACTACAGAGGTTGAAGATGTAGTTTCTACTCATGATAGTAATGTTGACGTAGATGTTGAAGATGTAGCTGCTACTCATTATAGTAATATTGAGGTAAATGCCGAGCCTACTAAGCCATCTCGAGTAGGTCCTATTTATCCATCTTTACTTACGAGTTTTAAAATTCACATAGCATCTGCAATTTGGAATAACCAAGTAAGTTGTTTTGCTGTAACAATAGAAGGCAAAATATAAGTTTGGTTCATGGTAATTAACCTAAATATTTTTTTTGGTATTTAACTAGGAACGTGAGCCCTTTAGGTGCATGTCGAAGATATTTACCTTTCATGAGTGGAATTGGTGGTATCGGAATGCAGCTGTCTGGATTAGAGCAAATAATGGGATATTCAAAAGGTACATTCAGATGTCTGGATTAGAGCAAGTTATTAAGTGTTCTTATCAGAATGCAGATAAGATTGTTGTATCTATCTTCGTTGAGAGATGGCATCTCGAAACGAACACCTTTCACATGCCTTTTGGTGAGATGACCATCACTTTGGATGATGTTTGATATATTTTAGGCTTTCCTGTGTCTGGTGCAGCAGTTGCTCCGCTTGAAGATGATAGCGATACAAATTTCGAGTTGTTAGTTAATTACTTATGAGTGATTGATGAAAAGGCTACTGAACAATTGCACTAATACAATTATGAGTATGCAAGTTTGTCATGGTTATGGGCGCGATTCTCAGATGTTTCATACACAAATTCAGATGAGCACAACATGTATTCTGCCAGAGCATATTTGTTATATCTCAAAATAATTACCGAATAAATTATGAATTGATCACTATAGTCAATTATACATTCTGTTCCAACATTGTTAACTTTAGTAAGGGCGTCACCTTGTTTTTGTTCATTCAATGAGAGAAAGGTCAAAATAGCTTGCATTAAATTTGTGGTCGACAATAAGTTACTGAAAAAAATAAATATATTTCGATTCATAGCCACTGAATTGTATGTCAAAATTCAATAATACACCACCGAACACCATTCCATATTACGATGGATCTTCACCGCAGCTTAAGTTAATGGTCAATCAAACCCAACCGAAATAGGTGCAATGTTTCGATGGCATCTCGCTGAATTTACCTATCACGTTTGGTACTGGTGTGCTAAACGCAACCAGTGACCATCATGAAATCCTAAACTTGAAAAACGCCAAAAAATAAACTCACACCTCATTCGAAACCTCTCTAACTTCAGTCTTACCCTTCGTGAATAAATACAATATATTTCTTCACCAATATAAGCGTATAAACCTCTTTAGGATTGTAAGAACATGATGGTTTGAGAAAAAAAGTTCAACTAGGGTTGCAGGAACTTATGTGGGTAGAGAGCAAATTTAATTTTTATTTTAAATTTTTTTGTCCTTAATGGTAATTATATACAATGATAAAATAGATTATTCATGTTTAAATTAGTATTAGGTGCAAAGAGTAATTAATGGAGTGCCAATAAAATCACCCATTAACATAACATCATGATCTGAAACACCAGGCCATCCTTGAAGTAAGGATTTCCATGTTTTTTTGTTTTTTTTTTTTTTGGTACTAATTCTAATCTGCAATAGATGAACGCTCTTATCTGCAATTAGATTTATATCTGCAATTGGATTTCCATGGATTCCCTAAACCCTAAAGGATTTCCATGTATGAATTTCACTTGGGAAACCATTTATTTCCACACCCTAGTCCCAAGTAAACATTTACAAAAGAGCAGGACAACTTAGAATGTCCTGTCACTATCACCCTCATTATATAAAGCCACTGGAAAAATTGAAGTTTGAAGAGGCTAAATTACCAAAAATATTTAGACACCGTAGTAAAAATTGTGTAAAAATTAGTCATCAGCATATGTGTGAAACTTCTTCACTAGGCCAGAGAGTTTTCCTACATGTCAGTATGGTCCCAGTCAAATGCTCTGTCTTCAAAACCATATTCCGACTGCTGAAGCCTATTCTTGGCCAACCTGCTCATTACAGCAAGACCTAGAGAGGAAGAAAAAAAAATCATTTAAACATGATCAGATTTTGAAAACAGATAAGAGCGTTCATTCATTCATGAACCTACTAATTCTAATTGCAGATATAATGTGCGTCAAGTAAGCAACTGGAGTCACACAGTACCTTCAACCATTCTGTAGAGAGCTGACCACCACCCATCTCTAGAGATCTGGTATTGATCAAGAGACTCTTCAATCACTTTATC